AATGTAAATCACAATGCCTTGGATTTGTGCTGCTACTGCTGTTTTCCAGTCTAGGTCACCTGGGTCTGCTCAGAGCCTCTTGCTGCTTGTGAGAAGGTTTACATCAGAAATAGCAGATTTTGAGGGTTTTTTGAAATTTCTTACCTTCTCGCGCCTCATCCATCCATCTCCTCTACCTCCTTCCCGTTGCTATTGGTTCTCCTTTTAATCACAACCCAGAAAAGTGGGTATTAATCTGTTATCAGCAACTGGAGAATTTATTGCAGAGAACCTGGATTCTTCAGCTTCAACACAACACGTATGCTCCACTAACTTGGGTGGCAGTGGGCTGTGATCTCTTGTTTTGGCCCTGATACCTTGCATGGTGTTGCCACTTCAGTGATGGCAACTTTGGCCATGATATACATCTAACTTTACTTTTAATGTGGTGCTTCCTTTATTGCTAAACTTATGGCCTAATAGCACAGTTCTCGTTTATGTGCTGTCATTCTAAGAAATGTGGACAGACTTTGCTCTGTTACAGCCTCTGTATATATTCAGAATGAACAACAAATTTGAAAGGTAATTCTGAATTGTCAGCAAAAGTAGTCAATGTATTTTCTTATCCCACCCTCTTTCAGCTGAGTGCTTTTTCTACCTTTTTTCCTCTTGTAGTTATGATAACCAATTTAGTTTTTAATATTTCAAATTATATTTTTTAAAAAGCATCTTTCTTAGTTTGTATTTATGATGTCCTGAAAATGTTTCACTTATAAAATAGGTCTCAATATGTTGCAATGATTAAGAGTGAACTTGTGTCTTTGTTTCCTTTCTTAGAGTGTATGGGATATTTCCAACCCTTTCAGGATTATTCTGTTAAAGGGTAATAAACTAAATACGGAAGAAAATGCCAAGGTAAGTAACTTTTTTCATGTTGTATTTGTAAAGTACTAATATTGGTGTGAAATAAGTTTATTCAAACTAAGCTGTCGTAAACATCTGACAAATCCTCCAATGACAGACTGAGAGTTGGGGTTGTTCAGCCTAGGAAAGAGAAGGCTGAGGGGAGGCCTTATAGCGACCTTCCAGTACTTGAAGGGACCTTCAGGAAAGCTGGGGAGAGACTTTTAACAGAGGTGTAGAACAAGGACTAATGATTCCAAACCAAAGTAGGATAGATTTAGTTTAGATATTAGAGAGAAATTCTTCACTCTGAGAGTAGTGAGACACTGGCCCAGGTTGCCCAGAGAAGCAGTGGGTGCCCCCTCCCTGGAGGTGTTCAAGGCCAGGTTGAACGGGGCTTTGGGCAACCTGGGCTGGTGGAGGTGTCCCTGCCCATGGCAGAGGCATTGGATCTGGATGAGCTTTGAGGTCCCTTCCAACCCAAACCATTCTGTGATTCTATGACTTCCTGTAAAAATGCCCACAACTGGGCTACTGACTGTTCTACAGACCATAAGTTGTTAATACATGGAAATTTGTTGCACAACTACTTTAAGACCTTACAAGACACTTGCCTGTGAGGTAGAACAACATTAGTTTCCTTTATTTTGTTTGGCAATCAAGAAATTAAATAGTCGTATCAATTAGGAAGAAATTCAATTAGCCACTGAAGTCTGCTGTTTTGATGCTTTATTCAGTATACTCTGTGCATATTTTTCTTTCAAAACCATTACAACCTCCTTGTATATTAGCAAGACTACATTTTACTACATAGCTAAATGAGTCATAGTTACAATTTTACTACCTGAGACACTGCAACTGTGGAAATCGTTGTCTGCAAAACCAGAAGTTTCCCTTCTGTCTCAACTGTTACTTAGCTACCTGTAGTATCTTCTTAATTCTACGTTCTGTAGACTCTTAAAGTTTTTGGATGATTTCAGTGTGCTTTTAGAGGAAAAAGGCTACAAAGGGCTACAAAGATGATGAAGGGAGTGGAGCATCTCCCTTATGAGGAGCGGCTGAGGGAGCTGGGTCTCTTTAGTTTTCAGAAGAGGAGACTGAGACCTCATTCATGTTTATAAATATGTAAAGGGTGAGTGCCACGAGGATGGAGCCAGGCTCTTCTCGGTGACAAACAATGATAGGACAAGGGGTAATGGGCACAAGCTGGAACACAGGAGGTTCCACTGAAATTTGAGAAGAAACTTCTTCTCAGTGAGGGTGACAGAGCACTGGCCCAGGCTGCCCAGAGAGGTTGTGGAGTCTCCTTCTCTGCAGACATTCAAAACCCGCCTGGACACCTTCCTGTGTAACCTCATCTGGGTGTTCCTGCTCCGGCAGGGGGATTGGACTGGATGAGCTTTTGAGGTCCCTTCCAATCCCTAACGGTCTGTGATTCTGTGGAAAAGAAAATATGTTGCTTGTAAGCTTGAGGAGAAACAGGAAAAATTGAGAGTTCTTTGGTGTTAGTGCCTGTGTACGCTATCTAAATATTATGTAGTGTTTTGAATGTTTTTAGTCTTAAACTTTGAAGTCCTGTAGTGCCCCAAGAGCAAGAATGCATGTAGTGAACTTGCAAGCTTGTGCATGTTTCCCTGCGTTGTCTGTTTACACTGCTGTGGAGTTGCCACTAATGAGAATGTATTTGTTTCCTAGTCCTGATTCTGAGGCTGCTTAATTCACTGCCATTGTTCTTTGGATTAAGCCAATATTCATCCATTTTTGCTGAAACCACCACAGGGTTCATAAATGCAGTGTTTGTAGTGGGGAAACAAAACATTTGTCAGACGGATAACACTTCGCTAATGTGAGCTGGGTTGAATGTTTTCACCTAGAGCACAAGTGACTTCATTCAGCTGACTAATTTTCCAAATACATGACATTTGAGATTGCTATTTTGCTGGCCTTTTGTCTAGTTCTAATTCTATGATTTCCAATCCTGTTAATAAAATTAGGATCCAATCCCTTACATTATTTTCATTCTGACACTGCCCTTTTACTAACAAAGTCGTGTGTACCGATGATGCAGCTGAAGAGCAAGACAAAAAGAAAAGCAATGTGTTCCAACAGTACAGTGCTTTGTTACTATCAAATTTTACTTGATCACTTACGCCTTTTATATTAACAAAATAAAAGAAATGTCAGGGAAATGTGGTGGCATATAGTTATGAGATGAAATGATAGCAAGTCAAAGAACGATATTCAAAATTATGAAAATGTGAAGTTAAACCTCTGGCTTAAAAAAAAAAACCAAACAACAACAAAACCAAACCACCAAAACAGAACAGGCAGATTTTAGAATATTTGCTGTTGTTGGTGTTGATGTGCAAGCAGATAATACACCAATGTGATCAGCACCTTAAATACACCTTAAATCAGCAAAGAACTTAATTCAATTGAATATACAATGAATCTCCGCATTAATAAAGAACCCTTTGGTGAATTGTTTCAAGGTTATGAACCAACCAGTTTTAATCAGTTCTCTGACAAACCACTTCTTGAATAAGTCTGCAATCTTTAATTACAGAGAACGTTAAAAAACCCCTGTAAGTGTAATCCACAAGAATTTTGATTGTAGATGTGCATATATACATATATTGTAATGTATAGATATGTACACACATGTGTAGTCTGTATAAGTTTAGATTTCCTGAAGTAAGGTTGCTTTCATGCCATCTGTCTCGTGGATGTTCACGTTGCTGTTCTTAACTCACAGTGGGGAAGCCGTGCATGCCAACAATAGGTGGTAGTGGTTGATACGAGTATTGCTGTGACTCAAGTTTTCCAACTGAACTTTTTCTTTCAATGTTTGATTGAAAGCTTGGAAATTAAATTGGGACTGTACACATGTAAGTCAGCTAGTCAGTTTGATGATGGATGTTCCTGTGGCACCTGTATCAAGAAGGAGTGTAACTGGTAACGGTGTGTTCCCCAAGACCTGGTACCTCTGCTGGTGCCTGTGCTGTGCCAGCAGTCTCTTCACCAGTGGTAGTGATTATTTCAGAGAAGGCCAGAATGATCAGAACGAGTGTTGCTTAGAGACCATCTGTTGGTGTTACTAATGCCTTCTCCAGGGATTATTCTGGGCTGAAGACAGATTTGCTCTCTAGCATGGCTTCTTTTAAAATGTTTTATGGTTTGCTAATAACTAGTTTGTCTGAGCTAGTTTACGAATGGAGAAATTAGCACTGAGCAGTAGTTGGTGTAGTCAAAAAGATATATATATAGATATATATATATGTATATAAATATATCGGGACTGCTTTGGTGCTGATCACACAGTGTTACCTCTTTGAAAGAGGGAAAGGTAGGTTCTCTCCCAGAAAAGATCGTGTCTGTCAGTTGGGAATTCAAAAGTGAATTATTTTTATTCAAAGCCTGTACCAAATTTTAAACGTCTCTGCCTTTCCTTTACAGCACTCCGCAGCAATATGATAGCTTAAAGGGAATGTAGCGAAAGTTGTTTGAGCAGCGTAGGGAACCTGAAACATCACTTTACCTTTTACTCTTTTAACTGGAACATCGAGAACTTCTTTTTAGTGTTGACCAAAGGACTGCATCGGTGGGGTTTTTTTCCCCTTCTTCTCTGTTTCTTTTTCTTTAAAAAAAAACCACAAAAAAACCCCAACAAAACAAAAAAACCAACAAAAACCAAAAAACACCTCAAATTCTGATATTTTGGAAGGTCACCTGAGAGAGGTTGACATATTTCTTTGTTTGCTCAGGCAACAAAAATAAAGACCTTCTTGTTAATCTTGTTGAAACTGTCCAGGAGTGTGGATCCGTGGAAACGCGTAGGTTTCTGTATACAGATGTTATTAAACAGAAATGAGCTACATTTTAACATTGACCTGCAATGTGCTTGATTTCGGTGCCCATAACTCCAGCTTCTTTCTCTTCTTGCCCTTTTCCTTTCCTGTTCCTTACTTCAACTGTTCAAGCTGGCTGGGTTTGCTGGTTTCTGGATGCTAAAGACAAAACAGAATTCCTGGAAATTACGTACATTGTTACTGTTGTTATTACAGGTGATTTCTGATGGCAGGAGCAGTGTTCCCTCTGTACATTTTTATAAACAGGTTAAGTAAAACAAATAAATTCTGAAAAAGTCTAAAACTTCTCCTTCAGAAGCACAAATTGGTTCTACCTGGAGATTTGAATTCTCATTAAGAAAAAGAGCCATAGTTTTTTCATTCTGCTTAGTTGTTTGTTTCCTATGATTTCCTTCTGCGTTAAGTATGTCAAGTTAAAAACATTTGTGTATACATACATTGTATTTTTGGCTACAGATGAGTTCTTATCATCAGCCAAATGTGGTAATATAAGTAATTCAGTATTAAAAAAATTGGTAGCCAACATTATTTAAACAAATAGATTTTGATTTGGCCAAGGACATGAACCATAGAATCATAAAAGGGTTAAGGTTGGAAGGGACCTCAAAGCTCATCCAGTCCAACCCCACCATGGGCAGGGACACCTCCACCAGCCCAGGTTGCCCAAAGCCCCGTCCAACCTGGCCTTGAACACCTCCAGGGAGGGGGCATCCACAGCTTCCCTGGGCACCCTGGGCCAGTATTTGTTCTCAAGAATTGTTTGGTTCATTTTAAAACCTCAAAATTAATATTTTTAAGATAGAAATATTGATGAAATGCACGTGTGTATGTTCTGTATAGTATTCTATGCAAAATTCTGTAGGTTCTGTGGCAAACTTAAAATTTCTCATTTCTTTATTGCAGGTTCATGTCAGGGCTGGTCTTTTCCATGGTACAGAGCTGCTTTGTAAAACTATTGTAAGCACAGAAATCTCTGGGAGAAGTGACCACGTCTGGAATGAAGTACTGGAGTTTGAAATAAATGTCTGCGATCTTCCAAGAATGGCAAGGCTCTGCTTTGCAGTTTATGCTGTGATGGATAAGATGAAAACCAAGAAGTCAACCAAGGCAATAAATCCTTCCAAATACCAAACCATTAGGAAAGCAGGAAAAGTGGTAAATATTTCATTTGTTTTTCTTGAGTGTACCTCTGGATTATATTGGAATGAGTATTCAGAAATATTTCATTATCCTCACTTCAGTGGGCAAGAGTGCAAAAAAAATAATAAAAAAGAGCATATATGTTAAGAATTGCACATCTTGGCACAAAAAGCACTTTTTGTATTTCTCAGACACTAAAAAAGCATGAAAATGTTGGCTGTAAGTCAGTTGGCAAATGGCTATTTAAAGAACTGTATTTTAAAAGGTCAGTTTTGTTCTGAACTCTATAGGAAAAGATTGTGATTGGGAAAAGATTAAGGAATTGGCATCTAGGTTTACATTCAGAGAAATGCGTATTTTTAAACTTCCAGGGTGATGCTCTTAATTTTAAATTTTATTGTCCTCAGTGGTGCTGGAGTACACACTGACAACCATGGATGCTATCACCATTAAAAAAAACCCCAACAACCAGATCCTCTCAGTTTTACTTATATCGTAGTGCTTGCTGTATAGTAATGCAGTTCGCTGGCATCTTAGTTTCCATGTAAAAATTCTTTCCTTTGACAGCATTATCCTGTAGCCTGGGTAAATACCATGGTATTTGACTATAAAGGACAGCTGAGGAATGGAGAACTGGTACTGCACAGCTGGTCATCGTTTCCTGGTAAAGTTTACCTTTTTAGATTTGGACTTTAAATACTTATAAGACTAAAGAAGAGTGGAATCAAATAGTAGAATATTTACTGTATGCATGTCCAATTCTCCTCTCAAGCTCTTTACTCTGTATTTTATGTGGATAAATACATGATGTTTTAATATTTTTCCTGAAAGTATTGTGTATCAGGAGGGAGGAAGGGCGAGAGTCTGCTTGGAAATAGTATTCTAAAAGTTCTATTTGTTATGGAAGGAAAATATATCTAGCGTTACCTGTTCTTAAGATGCAGTTTAGGTTTCATTTGGTTCCCCGTGCTATGCACTCTAAACTAAATAGCTAAGCTATATCTTATGTGACAATATTTGTGTCAGCAAAAAAGGTGAATTGGATTTTTTTGTCTTCCTTCCTGGCCATTCCAATGGATTAGTAAGAGTGTGTGAGATCTCCATGCCACTTCTCATTCCATCCTGAGAAGCACTGTATCAACACACTATCAACTTGGCCGTAGTGCTGAAAGAAGCTGGCTTAAAGCTTTCTTCTTTTTTTCATACTGTTTGATACAGAGGCAGTGTGTACACTGGTTTACAGAAGCTGTGGATCTTACTGGGATTTGGCTCAGTACAGTGATATCTCAGCTTCCCCTGACTGTTATGTTTATTTTGGGAAGAGAAAATCAGTTTCTCATTAGGTGACAATCCAACATTTGTGAATGTAGGAGGTATGGGTAGTTCATGCTGGAAATGCAGTGCATTGTAGAAAATGTGCTGTATAACATAACGTCCTTCTGTCGGTTGCATGCAGTAAGCAATTTCTTATTGCGTCTTTGCCTTTCAGATTTTTTTAATTTTAATGCATGCCTGGCTTATAATGTTGTTCTGTCTGATGTTTCAGATGAACTTGAAGAAATGTTGAATCCAATGGGAACTGTCCAGACTAACCCTTACACTGAAAATGCAACAGCTTTGCACATTAGATTTCAAGAATATTCAAGACAGCCTATCAATTATCCTCCGTTTGATAAGGTAAGGTATGACATAAAGAGCAGGCATGAATGCTTATGTGTAAATAGCTCTCTTTTTTCCTTTCAACACTGCCTTTTCCACTGAATGCTTCACTTCCTGCCTTGTAATTAACATAGTGCAATTTTTTGAACTTGCACTGCATGAGAGTGCCAGTGCTCTGACCTCAGGGTCTTTGAACAGTATTTTGAAGATGTACACTTCTAAAAATACTTTGTACATAGTCTTGTGAGGGTCAGAAGCATGATCAGTTTCCAGTATCAATGATCTTACAAAAAGCTAAACTTATTTGACATTCCCAAAACCTTCAAACTGTGCTTGCTTCTGATCTTGTCATCGTTTAGGGCTGAGCTGGCCACTAAATCTTGGACAGATGCCCTCTATTAACTCTTCTCCCCACCCCAGGAGCGGAAGAGAAAGAGAATAAGGGAGAGAGACTTACAGGTTGGAAAAGAAAACTAACAGGTTTAATGAAACAGTAATACTGATACTACAGGATAATAATAAATAATAATAATAAATAGGAAAATAATGAAATATATACAAATATGTAGAAATATATGTATATAAAACCTCTCACCCTGCTGTGACGATTGTGTCACCAGGGGCTCTGCAGAGCAGGGCACTGGAAAAGTTCCAGACTGGACCTAGCATCAGGTGGGAACAAGATGCAGGAACTGGATTCAGGAGCACACAGATCAGGATGAAAAAGCGGGGTTCTGCTCAAACTTTGGCCATTGCGAAAGTGCAGGGGAGGAAGAGAAGAGAATGAGACCCTCGTGATCCCTCAGCTTTATCCTGCGTATGACATCTGTGGGATGGAATACTTAGTTGGTCAGGTTTTGGTTCATCTGTCCTGTCTGCTCCTTTTCACAGGTGCGAATATGGCACCATGGTGTGACAGTGGCCTTGCTATGTTTACATACCATACAAGCACTCTCACCTGTAGCAGTACACAGTGTCTGGAAAAGCATGCTGTTAGTTTCAGAAAGTACAGTCGCTTAGAAGAGACTGAGCTGAAAAGTAAAATCACTAAATAGAAAATGAGTTCCATGTAGCTCCAAGTGGGACAGATCTATAAGGATCTGATGTTTCTTTGTACAAATGTATGCTTGCCCACACTTCAGGATGGTTCTTTCCTCTGAGTTAAAATCCTTTTGAGGATAAGTAGACTTTTAATATTGTGTGAAAAGGGATTTCTCAAGGTCTGCTCTTGCACTCAATCTGCTCAAGTTGCCCTGGAGTTTTCTACAGATGTGTCTAAGAATGTTTGTCTGGAAAGGAAGTGTAGGTAATGTCTGTAGTGTGAATACTAGCACAGACCAGCAAATACAGCTAAGACAAGGAAACAAGTAATAAAATAAGTGTTAAAACACACACCTAGTGATGCATTGAAAAGAGCAAGGTTTAACTCATACATACATGGTCTGAATTTCGGTTTTGGGAAAGTTAATAACCACTTGGAGAAAATTGCCTTTTAAATTTTTTTTTTCTTTTTTGAGGGGTTTGCACCTTTGGGGGCCATGAACAAAAAGACAAAAAGCACCAAGTTTTATCAGCTTGATCAAAGAGGGATTTGAGGTTTAAGGGTCATCAAATTAGAATCAATTAAGATAGATTTTGTTTGTTTTGATTTTAGTTGTTTGGTTTTTTTTCTTGTTAGTGCAGTAGTCATTCTGGTGTGAGAACAGCATTGGAAATGCCTTAAGAGCTAAACCAGTTCTAACTGCCTTCTTAATTTTGGTTGACCAGTTTACTCCTCATCATGGATGTATTTTAGTGAGTTTCGTTACTGGTTTATTTGTAACGCTCTAAGTTTTTTGCTCATTACACTATGTGTATTTAATATCTTAATGAAAAAAGCTGCTTTTATGTGCATATCACAGATATGTTATGTAAAAGTCTGTTTCTGCAGTAACCACTTATTTGTTGTAGCTTTATTATTTGTACCTGCGAAGTTTTCAGTGTGTTAAAATGTTCTGGTGAAGAAGAAGATTTTACTGAGTAAGGTATCTGATGTACTGACATGCAGTGAGTGTCTGATGGTCTTCACCATCCCTTTTAACTTTGTTTGGCTGCTTTTTTTAAATTTATTTTGTGGTTTTGCCCCCTTCTTGAACTGTACTTGAGAAATCCTGCATATCAAGTAGAGGAAAATCCCAGAGCATCTTTATAAAGTGATTGCAGAGCTGGTAATGAAACATTCATTGAAAGCATTCTGCTCTGAGGAAATGCTACAAAATGTGCCTTTTCTTTTTATAGCAGTTCTTATATTTTTCGAGTAACTTTTACTACTTGTAATTCACTAGAGTTATGAGACTGTTTTGCAGTAGCACTGGGAAAATCCAAGCTGGAAATTCTTTAATAATTCATTCCTGAATTTCTGGGAGTATACTGAAATTTCTCCCTTGGAAAAGAGAGTATGATACCCATTCTCAGAAAGATTTCCTTGGTGAAGGTCCTGTTGAACCAGGAGTAACAGTGTAGCTGCTTCAATTTTATCAGCTGGGAATCTGGTTTTCAAAATTGTGTAGGTGAGCCTTGCTTGGTGTATGGCTGCTTCTAATTTTCCCAGTGTTGTTATCTGTTTCTGACAAGAAAACAGAGCAGATGCCAGATCTTTATTTGAAGAAACACAATGTGCAAAAATAGATTAATCTTTTAGATCATAGAATCATTGAAGTTATAAAAGACCTCTAAGATCATCAATTACAACCGTCAACCCAACACCACCATGCCCACTAAACCATGTCCTGAAGTGCCACATGTACATGGTTTTTGAACACCTCCAGGGATGGTGACTCCACCACTTCCCTGGGCAGCCTGGTTCAATGTTTGACGACTCCCTCAGTAAAGGTATTCTTCCTAATATCCAGTCTAATCTTCCTCTGGTGCAACTTGAGGCCATTTCCTCACATCCTATCACTGGTTACTTAGGAGAAGAGACTGACACCCACCTCACTACAACCTCCTTTCAGGTAGTTGTAGAGAGTGATGAGGTCTCTGCTCAGTCTTCTCTTCTCCAGGCTAAACAAGCCCAGTTCTCTCAGCTGGTCCTCAGTAAGACTTGTGCTCCAGACCCTTCAACAGCTCCGTTGCCCTTCTCATAGCATCAATCGACTTGCAGTGAGCAGCTGTTTGGAGTTGAGCAAGCAAAAGTGCCTTGACTTGACAAGAAAACTGTTGTCTAATGCAGGAGCTGTATACTGGGCTGGTTAATGATCAGTGCTGCTGACACACTGAGGGGGTTGTAGTTCAGTTGTACAAATCTGGACTTGCAGGAACTTTCAAGGTTTATTAGCAAACAGAGTAACTCTCAAAAAGCACAATGAGGCAAGCATCAACCATAGAATTAGGGCGTTGTGGTTTTGTTTATGCATGTTTTCATGCACACTGTGTAAACAAGCTTTGTAGCCAAGTAGCAGATGTATTACACCATATTAATAAGCATTTCATACAGAGAAAGAAACAAAAGAAGTTAGTACACCTTTTCAAGGATTTCAGCTGCTGGGTATTTGTGCTGTGATTATTGCAGTCTTTTGTTGTTTCTCATATTGCCTGAGTAGAGACAACTTAAGTCTTGCTGAATCTGTGTCTGGGGGGTGGTGTTATATTCCTGGGTGATGAGAAAGGACATGGTGTAGGTTCCTTAGACTTCTTTCTTAACTGATATTTCATTTTATGAATTATTCCTGAAAACAGCAGCATCTGACAACTGTAGATGTATCTACCTGACCAGGTCAGCTGGTCTGATTAGCTTAAGCAGTCGCCACTCTAACACATCTCTGTTGGTTGCAGTAGTATGCAGAATATCGTTTGAAGAACTGTATTTACAACTGTACTTAAGTTCCTATCATGATTTATTACATGGACTTCAAAAACTAAGAATGTTCAAAAGGCCAGGAAAAAAGAGCAAGAGTAACTTGGAACTGAACTGCTGGGGAAATGTTGCTTTGCTGTTATCAGAAGTGACAGTCCTTGTTCCTGAGGGTTGCTGTATATTAACTGGTGCTGAGAGCTTGTTGGTGGAGTATTCACTGCATGATTAAATGAGTTATTGGTGGGAGCTGGTTGTTCATGACGTTACACCAAGGAAGATCCCAGATTTAGAGAAGTAATGGGGAATTGCTAATTGAGATCATGTGGGCAGTCTGAGAGGATGGTGAAAGGATGAAGTTTGTGGATTCATACTGAGATGGCGGGCTAGAAGTGTGGATCTGTGGTACCAGGTGTGATTTGTGCCATTGAGAACAGCAGAAGTACAGATGAGAAAGCAAAGGATAATTTAGAGCTGAGGAGTTGGTTTGCTGTACTGAAAACTAAGGAGGAAATACAAACGGAAATAGAAAACAAGACGCTATGGGGAAGACTATTTATGTTTAACCCAGGAGGAGTGAAGAAGGAAGTGGAGATAGTCATGAGCACTCCTATTCCTGGTCTCCATAGTCCCTCAGATTAGAAAAGGGACACAGCATTTAAGTCCATGTTATACTACTCTATATACAAAATAATAATCAGCTACAAGGTACCAACATTTCTTTATCTGCTTCAGTTCTATTATACTTATTCTTTCAATGCAGTCCATTTTTGTTTTAAATCCAATGTATTTAAAAACTTTTTTGCAGATACTTGAAAAGGCAGCTGAGATTGCAAGGAGCAGTGACAACGCTGTAATGGCGGTAAGCGTCTGTAGAAGACTATTTTAAAATTAATTTTCTGGGGATTTTTGATTTTTATCTCATACATCAATCTAGAAATAACGACTCAGACAACGACAGTTCTACTGGCTCTGTTTTCTTTTGTAATTCACTTTGGTGAACTGTCTTAAAATTCAAGGAATGTAGCCACTTTTTCCAATATATTTTGGACTGCTTGGCCATTTTTTTGTCAAAACCCACAATTGCTTTACATACTTTATGGATTAGGAACATAATTAATATTTACGTGAGATCTGGATCTGGAAAACATTTCTAGGCTGCATAAAATATTACTGAAAAATTGCTTATTTTTATCAAGTATGTTGATTTTGTTGTCAGATTTTTCCAAATCAGCTTTCTCAAAAACGGTCATTGATCTGTAAGAAGATGTCTCTTAAATGTGGTGATGATATCCTCTCCTTGAGGAATTGGATAGATCTAACTTGAGGACAAATTTTGAAAAGATCACCAAAATCTTAAGGCATTTTCTGTGTATTAAAAAACCCCAGATGACTGCAATTTAAGGTGGTGAAAGCAGAGTCAACATGCTTATATCACAACTGCATGTGATATAAGAATAAAGCAGGTGATTGAAGAATGTCTCTTACAATACCAAGTGCCTAAAGTGCTCAGAAAGACTGAAAACTCACTGCTACTTTGGGTCCCCACAACTGAGTGTACACGTAATTGTAAATCTCAAATAGCAGCATACCAGCCTGACACTGGATCCTGACTCAGTTTGAAAGATGGACATTTTCAGATGCAAGAGTCACCTTATTGTCAAGACCGTTTGCTTTCTTTGATACAGAAACAGAGTATGTGCTTAGTTTTACTAAGCAAGTTTTACAATTCAACTAGCATCTTAAGGTAGAATGTATACTCTAGGTGGTATTTTTACCTGAAAATATTAACTTAAAACACTTTAGCCCACTTCAAGGCTCAGGCACCCATCATTTCTAGAAGGAGCTTAACTGAAGTTCTACGTGCAGTAGATGCTTTTTTGTCAGGTGGGAGACCTGTGCAGAATATTAAAATATTTTTTGTTTCTGCTATGAATCCTCATTGACTTTGACGACCATTTCTTCTGAACATTCTTTTTTTATTATTATTATTTTCCATTACTGTAAAGACCTTTGGCCTACCTCTTAAATTATGGAGAATCTTCTTCACCTTTGTGAAGAAAAAGTTGGCTTTGGTATTGAAACTAATTTCTTCCCTTCGACTGTTACCTCCTTACCAGAAGGAGCAGTTTATTTTTAGTCCCATTAATTTATGGAATGCTATCGGTGCTGAGATCATCACTTTAATTTCTGCCCTCGCAGTCTGCAGAAGGACGTGGCTGGGGACTGAAGGTATTAACTGAGCCAATGTGAAGACTCCTTCATACAAACTGGTTTACAGAATCAGTCCTAATGTTCATGCTTCAGAGTCCATTATAAAACGGAGAAAGATGTCTGGAAAAGACCAGTCTGCATTAGAAGACAAATTGATATAAGTTTGTATCGTTAGCAAGTGTACTTCTCTTTGGTTATTGTTGGAAAAAAAATTTTTAAATTTTTTTTAATAAAAAAAAAAAATCACAGGTCTATCCATTAAATTTGCTTACTTGAAAAACAAAAGGCATAAGTGAATGCATCCTAAATGAAAGTTCTGCTGTTAGAGTTGGAAAATAGAAATATTGCCATCTAGTGTCATCAACTCCAAAGTTTACTTTTTTCAGAAACGTCTGTACGCTGAATTTTGGCTCTATTTGTTACAGTTCCTACAGCTTCAGAAATCTGAAGGAAAGGCATAGTAGTCATTCCTTTGTGTTTTATCTGATGTTATTCCCGGTGTAGGATTTCTAGTGTTTGAGCCAAAAGACAAGAATCTTAGTGAATAGATCAAAACATGATACATTTCTCATTTTCTAGGGTCGAGGTGGTAAGAAGTTTTATATTGTGCTAAAAGAAATAATGGAAAGAGATCCTCTATCTCAACTCTGTGAAAATGAAATGGATCTTATTTGGACTTTGCGATATGACTGCCGCGAAAACTTTCCACAATCACTGCCAAAACTGCTGCTCTCCTTGAAATGGAACAAACTTGAAGATGTTGCTCAGGTAAGGGACAAGACAGTGATGGTGGGGAAAAATGCTGGAGTCAAATCATGAGTAAATAGGGTTTCTTTCTGAAGTATAGACACTTTGATATGGTACTATTGTGTAAACCAAAGTTCATTCTATACCTTCTGTGGCCTGGACACATAACCAAGAACTTACTATCTTAAAAAAACCCAACATGTGTTTCAGAGGTCCTCTGAATGAGGAGAGAAGCACAGCAATCATTTATACAGGCTAAGTTTTAAATCTTGTGTTCAGTTTTAATCTTAAGTGCCAGGAATTTCACAGAATCACATCGTTGTTTAGATTGGGAGGGACCTCTTGAGACCATCTAGGAAAAATTCTATAAGTCTGTAGTGAAACCATTCTTGCTTGACAGACTGACTTAAAAGTAGTGAAAGAACAGACCCCTGGATTTGTATTGAAACTTTTTAATACAGAGCAGGTTGGGAAAAACTATGAAAGTTACCAAGCACGGTACTCGCTCTGAGGGCTGAACCCAGACCTTGTTTTGATCATCTGCTTATCCTGATGGAATTGCACGTTTAAATGATGCTCAGCTTCCTGTAGACACTGAGACAATACTTGTATCTTTCCATGGGTCTCATTCTTTACATTTTAAATGGTTATTAAAATTATTTTTATTTTTATAAAACTTTGAGCTAGAAAACATTTGCTGTGAAGTATTTCAGAAAAAGTATTCATGATATGTAAGTGTTGATGGTATCATTGACCCTTACTGGGCTATGGATTGAATAAATTTTCCATGCAAGTTTGTGAGGATACAACACCTATATTTAAAAGCACCTTTAATTTTACTTAGCTTCATTATGAGTCTTGCATGTGTTCATATCAGTATTTGCCCATGAAAACACTTTCTTCCACTTCTGGAATTGCAGCACGGTCCCTGGCTCTGCTTTGTGATTGATCTGTGCCCGTTTCTTCCATTCTGAATTTCCCAAAACTGCACCGATGAACCAGCTGAGAATCTGCCTCCCTAGGTGTTTAGTGTAATGAACACGCCTGTTAAATGCGGTTGAGACTATGAACGTGTTTGTCATACTTGAAATAGAAGCATTGGTTGAACTATGACATGTGGTAGCAAACACATTTTTCACTGTTGGTGCAATAGGATTACTAAATCAGGAGGAAAATAAGATCTTCCTAGTCAGTCCGATTTTATATGTTCCTATTTAAATGTGAAATATTTATATTATCTAATTTGTAGGAAAGGGTATTTTTATCCTAAGTTATGACTTGTTCCTACAGAGAGGAAAAAACTTGTGCTGTTGATGTACAGCACACATCGAAGCCTGTTTATTTTGAGTCATAGTGTACTGTTTCAGTCATACAATTTTATACATATTATTAAAAATATATCTTAGTGGACAGCTTCATTAAAATGCAATAAACCCAGTTTATTTTATGAAACCTCTAGGCATTTTTCTTCTTAGCAGTCCAAAATAATACACTGGTGTGTTCTGTAATTTTTTCCAGCACATCATTGTCTTCAGTACTGGGAAACTTCTCAGAATATCTAACCTGAATAATTCTTTTTGCAATTTGACCTCATTACTATTCACAGTGCATCAGTGGAAATGGAGAAATATTTCTGGTAAACATCTCTTTCTACAGAAACCTTATTTAAACTCTTTTTTGAGTGGAAAACATTTCCCAATATAAAATATATATAATTATGAAAGCATTTTCAAAACATTGTCTAAATTTTATTGAAGCTCTGTTTCTAAAACATACACATCTGGGGTTACCTAATTTTTGTTTACTGTGTGCCATGCCTATGTGTGAAGAAGCAGACTTTTCATGCTTTGTAAATGAGACCTGGTGCAAAAAGAATTATCCAGATCATTTAAAAGGGTAAGAATCAGAAGTGGGCCCATTTTCCCAGAGTTGGGGTTTGGTTTTGGTTTTTTTTCCTAGCCAGACCAGTCTGTAATCTCCTTCTGTTGGTCTGGATGCTTTTATGGGCAGTTATACCCATGTCTTAAATAGTGACTTTACCTGTAACCTAATCGCCATCCTTTCAACACAGCTTCAGGCTCTCCTTCAGATATGGCCCAAGCTGCTGCCTAGGGAAGCATTGGAACTGTTGGATTTCAATTATCCAGACCAGTACGTGAGAGAATATGCAGTGGGTTGTTTAAAGCAAATGAGGTGAGTGTGTTGCTTTACTTTGTGGGGTGAAAAGCTGCATCCTATTTGTCTATAGGAAAAAAACAATTCTAAGAGGAAGGGCTTAAGCCTGCTGCCTGCCATGAATAGATGACCAAGTAAAGCAGTCTAATTTCTAGATAATTGTTATTTTCCATGCTGCTAGGAGAATACCAATGTCCCAGTGAGACTGGTGTGTTCGCCCCTTTCTTGGACAAAAGGAGAGCAAGAGTAACAAAAGGGGAAAATAATACAATAGTTGAATAATATAAAAACCCCATCCAGCTGCCTCGCTCTCTGTGTCAGGTATTGGCTGTACCATTTAATAGAAATGTAAGCTGTAACATATAATAAAAAGAGAATTACTGATTTGTTTGTTCTTCACAGTAGCCTTTGCTATCTGCAGTTCTTCCTTTATCGAGTATGATTTTGCTCTTTGCTGTAACCTAGGGCAAGATTTGTGTAACGCTGTCATTTGCAGCACTGCTGCAGATTTCCTGTCCTTGAATTCTAAATTCTCTGTGGTGAATAGTTTTAGTGATTAACTTTTTTAATGGTCAAGGCTAAACTTTTGGGCTAGAAGAAAAGGAGTATTTTGACTACTTTCAAATGCAAACAAGCAATTTAGCTGCTGGACTATCCTAATAATGCTGAATTATTACATCTGGAATTACTTCCAGAATTCTTAGTTCTGGCTCTGAAGCAAAATTGTGTTCAGCTGGGTGTCAGAAGTGAATTTTCAACTTCTTTAACAAGTTTGATGAAGACAGCTGGTAAAAACTGTAACCCAATGGTGATCCTGTTAGCTGAAATTTAAAAAAGAGGCAAAAATAAATCCAGCACAGCATAATTGAAACTTCTTATCAAGTTACTGAAGATTTTCAGAGTAAGATGGAAAGAATGAAAGAATTCAGTATTTGCATCTCTGAAGTCTTCACGTGATACACAGAAGAATTTCTACTCTTTTCCTAACAACTTAAGCAGAGAATTTGAATTCTGCAGGCCTTTGATAAGAGAAAAGATACTGGAATGTAGGAAGTCAAGGAAGGTTCACATTTGTTCTGGAGTAACGTAACTGTTGGGTGTGAGAGGCTTTTTTTGGGGAGGAGAAATACAGGATTTCATAGAAAATTATTGGAATTATTTTTATTATGTCAATATTACTTGAAGTAGTTAATTAGCATAGAGACTTTTCAAAGATATGTTTATGAACTGTGGCTAAATACTTAAATTTGCATTTCTAGAGTAGGAGTAATTTGGACACTGGTTTCTCAAAGATGATGTACTTGTTATCCTCTGAAAACATTCATGGTTTTGGTATGATAAAAAACTAAACAAAACAAAAAAACCAAAAAAAACCCCCATAAACCAAAAAAAATCCACACAAAACCCCCCATTTTGGCTAAATGGATCACTTTGTAGGAGTATGTTAATAAATTCACACTAATTAAGTCACAGGTAATAACTTGTAAAGGCACATGAATGGAATTGCTTTTGGGGGACTAAATGCTCTTCTCCCCCTTCTTTGTACGCTGAGTGACTTTGAGTCACTCAAGTATTCGTGGTTCTTGTCCATGCCCATTGCAACCAACTGCAAGGTTTCAGTGGTTCTTTCTGTAGTTGCAAAGGGCCACTGGAACTCCTCAGTCAGAGGCTGAGTGCTCAAAGAGGACCAATGTCCACTGTGAAATAATCTGAAGTAATTAATCTCACAGATAGATAACCTGGCGGTCAGGCTGAGTTCTTGATGTTGTAAAAGCCCATGACAGAATAGCAGGTTTTTCCTTATAGGTTTGAGGGCCTTAAGACTCTGTTGTATCCCTAACTTACTGATGAAGTGGTCAATCTGGCAATTGCACTAAGTTTATATTATTGTTCTTTTTGTGACTGAAAATTGGGGGACACTCTTGCTATTGAAACAAATCTGTCATTGCTGGATTTGTCGTATGCATCTGAATTTCTGGAATATCATTAATCTGTTCACTCTGTTACTAACTGCTTTTATGTGCCCCACTCTAGTGACGAAGAGCTCTCTCAGTATCTTCTTCAACTTGTGCAAGTCCTGAAGTATGAACCTTTTCTTGATTGTGCTCTCTCCAGATTTCTGTTAGAGAGAGCCCTCGCTAATAGGAGAATAGGACAGATGCTGTTCTGGCATCTGAGGTAAGAGATTTTCCCTTGCGTCTTTCTGAGACTGTTGAGCCTGATTGGACTTTCCAATATGATTTCGTGAGGGCTTTAACAAATGAGCCGTTGTTGTAGTCCCCTATTAGTCCTCTTTGTTTCATTGCCTTTATCATTTGTGGATTGAGCAAGCCTATAATTAAAAATATATTACAGTGTTTGTAGTCTACTGTTTGAGGAAATTATTCCAAACTGCATTCAGCTCTATCTGATAAGTTAGCTCTGTGTATCACATTAGTGTTTGTTTTGGCTGTGCATGCAGTGAAGTGACAATATTTATACCTTACAGTTGGGAAAAAAATATATTATATTTGAGAGTCCAACAGCAAATAAAAGCAGTTTTATGTGCCATTGCACTTCTGCCGACTGGTTCCATGCGGAATGGACTATAGCTTGATTCTCTCTTCAAAGTGCAATTTAGTTTAATATTTCTGAATAAAAAGAGGAAGTACTACATGAAAATGTTTTGGACAATAATTGGCTCTGGTATAAGGTTCAGTGGTTTGTTTCAAAATGTTTCCCTTCAGGCAATATTTGGCTTTTCCCTTACAAAAATTTGAACACGTGCAGTTTAACATCAGCCCTGATTCTCAGTATCATCTTCTATGACTTACCAGTACTGCTTCCTTGAATAAAAGGGGTTCTTGAAACAAAAATAATCTAATAATTACCTCTTAACATTACTGTCTCCAGAACAGTCCTAGGCCTTGAAACAAGTGGCATGCATTGAAACCAGCCAGTTCTTAGTGTTCAACACGTAGGTGTTTTGTTATTTCTTAAGAATTCTGCCTTTTTGTTTTATCTGTATAACCATGAAGTTTTTTGGTGGGATTTTTTGTTGTTTTGTGGTTCAGTTTGGGTTGGGGTTTGTTTTGGTTTTAATGGCTTGAAGAATGCATATCTGTAAACACTATGGTCTGATGAGACGCCTTTCTTCTTCTAGGTCAGAGGTTCACATACCTGCAGTTTCAGTACAGTTTGGTTTGATACTTGAAGCTTACTGCCGAGGAAGCGTTGCTCATATGAAAGTGCTTGCTAAACAGGTATAGACTTCCCTTCTCCTTTAAATCTTGACTGATCCCAGCTTGTAACTCAAGTACTTATTCCGTTGCTCTTCTGGGGTGTATTGGTTACCTTGACAAAGTCCATCTGTTGGGAAGCGGGGAAGAGAAGGAAGCATGGGTGAGATGGAGAAATGGAAAGGGCTAAATGGATGATGGAGCAGCTCTCCTTGGCTCAGAAAGCAGCTAGCGCTGTGGGGCCTCGGAGGGCAGGAGCTGTTTCTGTGGTGTTGTGAGACGTGTGAGAGACTTGCAGCCGTGTGCTTGTATTCTGCATAGAGCAGCAGACTGACTGGACTAGAAACTGAAGAAGGGTTTCTGTGCACTTGAAACTTGTGACCCTTTTCCCCAGAAACGGTAACTTGTTTAATAGAAACTGTTCCCTTCTATCTAAACTTTATCTAGATGACTCCAAGACTACTTCCTGCAGCTTTGGCTTTTGTTGAAAGGTGATTCAAAAAACCCTGATGTTGTAGTATAATGTAGTATTGCCTGGAAATAAAGATGTTCAAGTAAACCAAATACTCATTTTAGTCTTAATATGGATGTACCATTTAAAAAAAAAAATCAAAAAAGGAAAAAGAAATGAGAGATGCTTGCTTTCAATTATCATAGGAAGTATAGCTGCAGATCAGTAGAGACACTCACAAGTCATGTTGGAAGGCTCTAATGCAGTTTTAGCAAGTTAATTTAGATTGTGACCGTAAAGAAGCTTTGAAAAATTCTCTCTTTGGAATTAATATATTTGCCGTATCAGGCTACAGAAGTCTCAGTAGATACTTGTCTGATGAGTGCTATTTGTAACAGTTTTGATACTGTCTACATTGAAACTGTGCTTTGAGAGGCGCATGGAACAGGAATGGAGTGCTTCAGGAGAGATTCCCATTGAATTCCAGCAGAAGTTTTTTTTTCCCCATGAAATCAATGAGACATTGGAACAACCTCCAGGGGAAGTGGTGAATTCCCCTACATTGGTCAGTGTTAAGAGTCAGCTCGACAGGGTACTGACTCATCTCATTTAAACTACACAGTTACCTTGAGAGGTTGGACTGGATGATCCTGTTGGTCCCTTCCAACCTGAGATTCTGTGACTATGAATGTACTGTTGCGCTCTTCATTACTGCAGTTTGCAGGACGTTGAAAAGACCGTCTCCTACACGTGTGCCTGTTAGTATTGTCAGAATCATAAGATTAGGTGATGAAATGCTTTAAGCAATAGACCTAAGGTCAGTAAAGTTTTTGTGCACTTCACAGGAAACAAATGTCAGTACAATCAAAGAAGGGGCAAAAAAATTCCCAACTGTGCAAACACGGAAGAAATTCAAAGTAGAAATACTTCAAAAAGTTCCTGTTTGTACAACAAGTTCCATTTTGTTCCCTTGTCACCAATGTTTGTACAGCTCCTAGAATAGTGGAAAAGCAGAGCACTTTTGGTTTTGACAGATGGCTGACCTGGCAGGTCTCCATTGCCTCAGTTTTATAATCAAACTGCATACAATTTCCACAGCATCCTGCCTGGCAGGGCTCAGTCTGTCTGTAGAAGTGGTAAGTTTTGACTCAGCACCTTGTAAGATAGACTGAAGCTTCCTTGTATAGAAAGCAACTCTCAGGATTATTAAGTTGATGCTGTTTGCTAGAGAATGTGTGTGTTACTGAGTGTGTTAACTGTGGCTAGGGGCAAACACAGCCGGTTGTTATAACAACTATTTTATATTTGGCTAACAAGTTGCTTAGATGTAGATGCAGTATAGAAATATTTGTTGCATGTGCTATCTAGGTTTGTTACCACAGGGCTTTTCTCTGCTAGTGTTATGTGTTCTTTACTAGTTGTTTTCTTAGAAATTAAGTACCAGTAGAAAGCTTTCCAAACCAAAAGAAGGGATGGGAAGGGTTAAACCCACCTGTATTGATTGCAAATAATTGCCTTGCCTTTTGTCACATTTTTTGAGGTAACAATATTGCTTAGATGAGATGTCATGATTTGTAACACTTTAATTGGTTTGATCATTTACCTTGTGCTTAACTTCAACAGGATTTTAACGAGCAGACTTCTAAGACTCAGCTCTGTAAAGGTTAAGTAGATGTAGTTATATATGTGAAAATAATCTGCAAGTAGTCATATGGCCATGTCATGTTCTGTGCAAGTAACTGAACTTGGACAGTATGAAGTATCTGCAAGCACAGATTAACTCGAGCAATGTTTGATTTTGTTAGAGGTAGGAGGAACTCAGTATTTCTGTTGACTTCAGGAAGGACAGAAGGCACCTATGTTATGTGCTTTGTCAAATTAGTGAACAAAAATGGTATTCTGGAGAAGGAATTTGTGTAAATGTATCATACATTAAAATACCTTATTCATTTTTTTTGGAAGTGTTAAGTCATGCTTTAAACTGACTCTAATCTCAGGAGATTTCATCCCATTGATGTCTTTGTTACTGAAGGAAATGGCATTTCTGAGACATGAGTGACTTACAGCTTTTAATCTTTTTCTTCCCCAGAAATGTCTTATTATTTCCACTCTTAAAAAGTAGTCGAATTATTTAATACTTTAGTTAACTGCTCTGTTTTGAAATGAGATTTTGCATTGTATTAAGTGTAAAGTAACAGCAACAACTTTCAAAGATAACCTGTCTTTTTCAGGTGGAAGCTCTTAATAAAATGAAGACTTTAAATAGTCTCATTAAGCTGAATGCCATGAAGCAAAGCAAAGCAAAAGGAAAAGATGCGATGCATACGTGTTTGAAACAAAATGCTTACAGAGAAGCGCTTTCTGACCTCCAGTCCCCTCTGAATCCTTCTGTTATACTTTCAGAATTACAGTAAGTTAAGAATGAATAAAATCTCACTGTAGCTTTTGCACGGGAACAGTAAAAGCAGAATCGCAGATGTGCTTTAACTTCCTTTGGCTCTATTGTTCAGCAGAGATGCTGTCATAGGGAACTTTTTCTGTGGTGACTGAAGGTCTGTTGGGAATCTTCCTCATGTTAAGGTATCAGTTCAGTTAGAAAGCTTTTTTGATCCACCATGGAACTTAATACTCTCTTAGTCAATGTATTACCGTAGCTAACTATATTTAAATATAAACCTAAAAGTGAGTTCAAGTACATTCTTGGCTTCTTGTTTATAACTAAAAGTACAAAAGCCATTAAAACTGTTAACGGTGCTTAAATATAGAGTCTAAAACTTTATGGGAAATCATATAAAGAAAACGATTTTCTCTGAAAATTGAAGTGCTTAATTCAAGCATTATTTAAATGTATGCCAGCCACGGTATCCAATACGTTCCATGTATAACATGTCTGTTCGTAACCTGGTAAAGGCTCCTAGTGTAGTAGGAGAATGAAAGCAGAGATAACATTTAAGTATTTCCAAACTGGAAGTGACACACTCTGTTGAGTTTTGAACAATGTTTGGGCCTCTTCAGTTGAATTACTCTGATTTGACTAAAGCATTTGTTATATTTTCTTCTAGTGTTGAGAAGTGTAGATATATGGATTCTAAAATGAAGCCTCTATGGATAGTATACAACAATAAGATGTTTGGAGGAGATCTTGTAGGGATCATCTTTAAAAATGGTGATGGTAAGCAATGCTAAAAGTGTTAAATGTTTCCTTTTCCTTCTTCCCGCGCTTGCACTTAAGCTGTGTTGCTCTGTATTGCCATAATGTAAATGTGGTTTACCCTAACGTTGTTAAACAAATTATTGGTATTCTATGATTCTATTAAATTAAGTGTCATCTTCTGATTGGGTTTCAAAGTACAGACATTACCAGTTTTGATGTAATTATGGTTAATCCTGCTTTAACCTTTAGGCTTGATGAATATTTTTTGGTACATCTTTCTGAAGGCCTTATAAAGATTAGAAAGTTTGTCCACAGCACACTGAGAAATTGAAACAGCAGTTTCAACCTTGCATTACAGATCTCCGACAGGACATGTTGGCGCTCCAGATTTTGCGCTTGATGGACATACTTTGGAAAGAAGCTGGTCTGGATCTCCGGTAAGGATCTCTTCAGGGCTAGTTTATCTGGATAGAGACTCCACTTCTAGCAATAAAGCTTTCCTGTTATTTAAATACCTTCCTTACTCTCTCCTTTCCAGATATCTATATTGATGCCCACAGGTTTCAGTTGTCGTAGCCAAGGTGAACAGGCAGCAATTAGAAAAAGTTACCTTAACTAATTAGATGGCTTTCTTTGCAGTTCATTCCCTAGATAAATGGCCCACATTACAGTAGAATTTAGTCATGAAAAGAAATAATGCAAGAAGTTAAGTAAAACTTGGGGATTTTTGTTTATTATCAAGCAGAATATTTTTCTTACTGCACCATATATCTTGCCATTTATCTAAGTTGCCATGCTGATTATAAATTCTACTGCTGTCTTATAAAGTTTACTGTTTTAATCCTTTGAAAATCATCTAGATAAAATGCACTGTATGAGGTGAGGAAACAATTCATTGAGTTAAGGATCTAGCAAGAAGGTTTTGTGCCCTTTTTTTTTCCCGTTGGTTTATTTGTGTCTGTGGCCTTTCCAAAAGGAGATGTTTCAAAAATTCCTCACATAAAAAACTTACCTAGTAATGATTTTTCCAGGCAGATGCAAAAATGATTATGGGAGTTGCAACTCTTAGGTTCTACTACATGTGTGGAAGTAAGGGACAAACACAGAACACAGATCTGCTGGCCAGGAATTAGCTGCTGAGGGTTGCATCTGGAATACACCATCAAGATTCTCCAATAGGTAGAACTAATAGGCAAAACACTCTCTAGAAACTAGTCAGCTCTAAGTACTGGTAATCTGGGGGCCGAGGGAGTAGGAGCTTTGAGATGCTTTATAACAGAATTTCAGTCTGGTTGAGAATTACCAGACTCGTGGAGTGCACAAATACAGATTCTTCCTTTCAGGATTTAACATATCTGTGTGGTTTGTGCAGCCATGGCCACAATTGAACATATGGCTGTCCAGATAAGTTTTGTACTTGCGATCTGTTTTCTACAGAATTTAACAGAGGAATGCCCGTCTTGTATTAACTACATAACGGGCTTTGTGAAAATGAGGGTCTTGGGAGGTGAGAAGTTAAGTTGCTTGTGCTTCTCTTCTCTGAGGGCTGCTGCACAAAGAAAATTTATGATAATTGGAAGCCGTCACTATGGATTTACCAAGGGTAAAATAGCCAATCCAATAGCCTTCTTTGAGGGAGGGAAAGGGTAATGGATGTCCTTACGTGAACTTCAGCAAGGCTTTCGAGTGACCCCCACAGTATTCTTGCCTCTCGAGTTGGGATGTTACAGATGGGATGGGTAGACAACTAAATACTCTGCCTGGAGGCTGATGACAAGTGGATTATCACTGGAGTCTATGTGGGAATTTTTATATTCTTAGCCTTGTCAGTATCCTGCAGTGAAAGACATTTATTATTTAAATATGTATGCAAGAAAAAGTACTTCCATCTGTTTTGTGCTTACCACCTGCTAGTCTCAGTTACTGCATGTTTTCAGTTGTATTTTTGAGTCATGATGAATAGTGGATAGTCATTGAAGAGTACGACAAGATTCTAGAGTAAGATGAGGTTGGCAGGAAAAGTGATGTATTTAGCACCACTACTGTATTAGGAAAAAAAGTACATTGCAACATCCTTAAAATGTCACTTTTCAATGCTATTTCAATGAAGTTGTTCTAACCCAGCCATTAGAAAGTCAGTGGAGAAAAAGCATAATGTCCTGGTGCATTGTACCAAAGGACTGAAGAGGTTTTTAGGGTATTGAACTGACTCACATGTCATGCTAAAGCTTCCTCTTATTGCTGTTTATACCCAAAGACTTGGGGTCATTGTGAACATCTTATTCTGAAGTCCCACTTTGCATTCTTGTCTCAATAAGACGCTATTTGGATGTCAGAAAACTTTTTTCCAGACCAGAAATACCTTTGTATCTTCCAAAGTCTCTTGCAAAGTAGTTTTCTTACCTTCATGTGCTTACTAAGGTAAGCATGACTTGTTTGTAGGAATACTACAGTAGTCAAAAGAGAGACAGTATGAGGCGTTGTTATCATATAGTAAATGGGGAACTTTTCCAGACACATCTATGCGCCAATTCTAGCTAGTGTAGTTCTCAAATTCTGATTTATTTTAAGAAAAATAGTTCTAAAGATGATATTGAGGCCATAAATTCTGTTTTTAATGCCTGTGAAAGGGCTGCAATCCTCTGTGTTTAAATTTTAAGTGTTGTCTATAAGGCTAGAAGTACTTACTCAAATATTACTTGAAATACTTTATTGGAATCTTTGAGCTCATTTCAGATTTTTTGTGATTCAAGCGTAACAGCATGAGCTTTATAAGGCGCATAACGTCAACACATACAGATCAGTAAAATTATAAACTTGTTACTTGTGCTACTTATGGAAAGATTCATTTGAGTGAAGTATGGGATACAGTGGGAATGTGAGTAATAAATTGTTTCTGGAAGTGTATGTTTGTGGTGAGGTAGCCGAGTGTGTGTGAAGTTGAATACCGATTTGAGGAAACTTCAGATAATTTATGTCATAAATAGGCTGCGAGGAGACAAATCGAGCATTTAGAGGCAAGGACAGCCTCTGGCAGCTGTAGGATCCCAGATGAGGCATTCTTTGGTTGTTGCCTTCCCAGAAGCTTTGTTTGTGGTTCTGGCCTGGACCACACACTGTGCCTAGCAAACGGGAGTAGTCATTGGGAGTCCTCAAATATGTTTTCCTGACTAAGGCATTTTTTAAACTCGACAAAGGAAAACCAGAAAGTGTCTCTGATGTCCAAGATTTTTCTGAAAACTCTCAGGAAAAAAAAAACCCCAAAACTAGAAAGGGGAAATTCCTAGTGAGAATTAAATATCTATATTTGGCCTCTTCCATTTATTTACTTAACTGGGAGCATCTTCCTTCTATTCATCCATTCATAGTTACAATTATAAAAAAAGTTCAGGGATTAAGGCAGAGTTTCAAGTCTGTGTCTATCAAAGAGACATTAATCAGGCAGCTGCCCAGGGAAGGCTCTGAAATGTCCTTAATTGAAAACAGCATTGGATAAAACAGCACTGGAAATGCCTGGGGCGTGAGGATGCAGCTGAGAGGGTAAGACTTTGTGATCTCCATCTTTGCAGTTTATATGCCTCTCAAAAAGAGGCAGCTCCAAAATCTGTGGATTAACAGCAGTGGTAATGAGTTCTGTTGCCCTGTTCATGAGTCTGGCCTTGCTGGCTTGCTTCTTTTTGCTTGGGTAAAAGGCATGGTTTCAGGTGAAAATGTCAAATACTTTTGCTTTCCTGAAAAATACAACAATCCATACCAATGAGTGGAGTCTCTTTTTCTTGCCCTGTATCATCCTTTGAGGCTTTAGTTTCCCTGAAGTTGTTTCTTCCCTTTTTCCTTTTGCGGATGCATGATGGATTTTGCAGTTTTCAACTTTTTTCCACTACAGAAAGTTTGATAACTCCATTCAAGTAAAAGCAGGGCTTCTCACTTGTTTCACCAGTGTAAGAGCAGAAGCACTTGCTGTTTGCCTCCCTCTTTTAATCAATAATACCTTGCCACAAGCAAATTGTAGAGCTTCTATGAAGCCTGGCTCAAAAGGCAGCCAAGATGCTGCCACCGAGGAGTTTGGGATAGGATCAGTTTCCTTATAATTGCACTGCAATCTGTAGCCATTTATTTAGTAGTAATATAAAATAAAATCTTAGCCCAGTCTGTGTGTAAAGCAAGCATGATATTCCCAGTGGGATTTCTCAGTTCTGAAGAGAAACACCAAATATATATTGTTTTTGGGAACTCCGAAGCTGAAGAAGGAGAAAGGTAGGTTTGTTTGGGGTTTTTTTTGTTTTTAACTGTCAGCAAATTTGTCTGACGAGTAAACTCACCTCTTTCACACACGGTGTGTTCTGTAAGCGAGGTTCCCATGTGTGCATTCTGACTAAATATCAGAACAAGACCACAGTTTGTATCAGAAAAGGAAATACGTGTATGCAGGAGGATGTAACAGCGTGCTCCAGTGGGTCCTTTATCTGGGGCTGGCACTGGGTGGACAATGGAGTGCACAGCTGACTGGAATTTCTGGTGTAAACTGCATCTGCATCTCAGTACAGACCAAACCATAAGAGAGCAAAGGCCAACACCCCAGGTGAGCACTGCTCAGTCATGGAGAGGAGTCTGGCTCAGTCAGTTTACCTTAGACATCAGTCAGTCAAGTACTAGAGAGAAACTAGACAACAAAAAAGCACGTTCTTTAGTTAATCCCCATGCTTTAAAAACAAACAAAAACAACCCTATTTATTTCTAAGACAAAGTATTATCTGAAAATTGAGCAGGAAATAGTTGGCCTAAGATATTAGTATGTGTCGGCAGCTAAACTTCCTCAGTCCTTTCTGTAGTTTATCTCTAGTTATTTCTTGTACTTTAAATATGGGCAAGTATGGAACAAACCCAATTAAATGGCATTTCTATTGAGGCTGCATCTGCTGAGTAACGAAGCGAGACTTTCAGAGGTTCAAACCCTCTGAAAAGTTACAGCCACACAAGTTATTTTGCTTTAAAAAATTCCCTGTCTAAAGCCATGTGTATGGGCATACTCACAGTAGATGAGTTCCCTTTCTTTTATGCCTATGAGGAATGTTTAAATATTACAAATGTATGTCACAGCAGAGGAGCATAACACATCTTCCCAAGCGTGCTGTGGGGTCTGCAGTGTTGCACCTCTTTGTATCAAAAGGTATTTCCACTGCTTTGCCTATATCAAGGCATTGAAATTGTGTTAAAGGAGAAACTGGTAAAGTAACAGAGCACCAGCAAATCATAAGTTTGAGAAGTTTGATCTATGTGGAGCGACCTTTGCTGTGGTAAAGTGTCATTAAAGTATTTAGTTACTTCTTGGACAGATAGAGGGAGTTCTCCAAATTACTTATTCATTTCACTGCCTATTTATAGTGAGTTTTAATTTTCACCTTTCTTCATATGTGTGAAGTCCAGTGTTAAGCCACTGTGTATGAATGAAATCAGAGTTCACAAACATACTGAAAAATGTATGTTACAAATCTAAAGAATGTCATTATTTTTAAAGCATTGTACCTGAAGTTACAGGGAATATTGATACCAGAACTTGGTGTTGTATTTGGGAAGATACGGCTTTGGAGAATGAAAATCTTGAAATAAAGAACACTATTAAATAAGTGAGGAAGAGAATTTTCTGTCCTGCCCAGGATTGCTGTATTCATCTGTCTGTGGTCTTTACTGGCGTTAAAAAGCAGGGAGCATATCCTGCTAACAGATGTTGAAGTCAGAAAGACCAGGATGAGATGGAAAGGGCCCAGAGGATTTGTCCCTAACTTGACTCCTGTCAAACTGTCTCTCTGACAAGGATGTTTTTTCCTCCAGTTGTAAGCACACAGTCCTCAAGGGGCTGAAGGCTTTCATCATTGCTTGTTTTTGAAGGGGAAGTTGTTGGACCTGTGCCCAGTTGAGCTGCAAGAAGGGTGGGTTGAAAGCCGTGGAAGAAGGCCAGCGTGCACTTTAACCTGGCAATATTTGGCTTACATTTGTTGTGTCGTGATAAGGGTGGGCAGTACTTCCTGATATCGCAAATACTGGTGTTCAGTAGTTCCAGATACCCTTCTGTTCATTGTGAGAACCCACCGGTCTAGAGAGCTGGGGGTTTTAATTGGGAAATGGATTAGAAACGGGAGGAAGGTTCCAAATCTACGCTTTTTTGTGTTGAAGTTGGGTGTTCTCTGAATACTCTGAACCTGGTTTTCAGTTTACTTTGTTGCCCGTAGAGAAGAATCCCCAGATACGTAGTTATTAGTGCTTGTGAGGGATCAGCTGTGTGTTACCACTAAAGTAGAGAAACTGTTCAGATTTCTAATAGTTGTTATGCCAAAAAGTTCAAATTAATTTAGTCTGGAATTTGATTTATTTTTCTTCTATGGCGTGGGATAGTAGGCTATGTCAGTTAAGAGATGTGGTTCTGCTTTATAGCAATCAAACTTAGTGTCTGTTTTATATATAAATACCAAAGACAACTCCCCTAGCAGTTCTTTTTCCTTCTGTATGTATACACATGCAAATATTTTGATGTCCAGCAATTTTTTTATACAGTTTTGTAAGTTACTAAGAGCTTGTGTACTGCAGTTCGACTTGCATGGGCATCCATTCCTTTATACATGGATCCATGACCAAAATTGAGATCATATTGACCTGAGATGCCTAGCACAGCAGTGCACACCTCAGTTTGTGGTGAGGAGCCTTTGAAGAGTTGGGTTGAAGTTTCCATCGCATCCATTGGACTTCCATTTATGTTGCCATTGTTTTACCATTTTAAGCGCTTGGAGTAAGGACATGTTTTGGAAAAATACACTTGTCAATTTAGACATATGTCTCCTTGATTCATATCTTTATTTGTGTCTTATTTTAATGCAATGATATTGTTGTAGATATTTTTAGTAGGTGTAGTATATGAATGCACAGGAATCTTCTTACATATCAGGTGGGTTAAAAGATGTGTTCCCAATTTTCATTCAGTTTCTATGCTTAAAATCAGTAAAAGTTCGGAAATATTATTTTATGTTTAGGTTTAAAAGGACTTCTAGCAGTTGAAGTTGAAATATAAAGAATGGGGGGAAAAAAGATAAGATCTTCTTTTCCATTTACACAAATAAAACAGTCTAGAATGAACATGAGTGTAATTTACTGTCTGTTTAGCCAGCAAATTAACAAATGAAAATAAAGGGCTCCCTCTATGGTTTCTCCTGTAAAATTACCAGTAATTGTGTTCCCCAGTAATAGGGAAAAAGTAGGGTTGCTTACCATTTCTTCTTTAACATATATGTATGTAATTGGAAAAATTAATGTTTTAAATGTATTTTAGCTTTGCAAGCAACATCTGTGTGTTAACCTTTGAGACTTCAGTGTTCAAGTTAACGTGAGCGTTCAGCCCTCTTGTTATTGAATACCGATACACTGAGGAGACCTTCTTACTATTCCTATTTTTTAACATGAATCTGTCTTTCGTTTCAGGATATTGCCGTATGGCTGCTTAGCAACTGGAGATCACTCTGGCCTTATTGAGGCTGTTTCTAGTTCAGAAACCATTGCTGACATTCAGTTAAATAGTAGCAATGTTGCTGCCGCTGCTGCCTTCAACAAAGACGCTCTCTTAAACTGGCTGAAAGAATACAATTTAGGGTAATTGCTGCAGTTATTTTCTTATCTATAGTGTAAGCTGCAAAATTCCTGTAAGTTTATATTTCAGTCTTGAGGAATGTGAAGCTCTTCTGGCGGGTTTGTTACTCCTTCTTTTTCTAGCATGTCAAATTGTGACTCGGATTCATGGTGCCATTGGAATTCAAACAACGATCCAGCTGAAATACTGGATATACATTTGCTGTATTTTGACTGCATGTTGTGGAGTAAGTTATACTGGATTTGGCAAAGCAGACAAGCCCAAGAAAACTGTATGGGTCTCAAGTCTTGATGTTTTTGGCTTTCATAATATTTGCATCTCTCCTATTCGCCATAGCTACGTTTTTACAGTGCTTTCTGTCAAATAAGTCTAGTTTCACAGCACCTTAACAGGCTTCTGGTTTAAGCAAGAAAAAATCCTTTCTGAAATCAAGGCGTGACACAAGTTACCAGTAGTCTGCACTAATCTTGCTTGTCTGTGTGTTTTTAGAGATGACTTGGATCGAGCCATTGAAGAATTTACTCTGTCTTGTGCTGGCTACTGTGTAGCTACTTACGTACTGGGGATTGGTGACAGACACAGTGACAACATCATGGTCAGAAAAAATGGTCAGGTAAAAATCTCTTCTTTAGGCAGAATAACTATAGTATCTTTGTAGTGCAAGAATTATCTTGAGAACTTCAGATTTCTATAGTATCTCCGTGAAATAAAATCCAGACATTGCTACAACTGATGGCTTTACTGAGAATTGAAGAGAGCTTCAGAGAAATGAAATCTAAGACTAGTGGAATGTCAACCAGTGTCTGTTAGGGAAGCAATTCTGTATCACGTGAGGCTGTTCTTGAGGAGTTTTTCAGGACATCTGAAAGGCCTGTTAACGGTTCAGATTTGTTGAATAACAGCAGTCTTAGAGTATTTTGCAAAAGATTATCCTTAAAAAAATGCATGAATTGCAGTTCTGAGCAGTGTAGTTTTCCTGAAGTTAGTCTCTACAGCCCCCCTCTGCAGAAATTGTCATTATGGAACTCAGGACCAGCATAACGCTGTGACTGTTAAGTCTCAAAATGTAGAGCCTAGGTAAGCTCTTGGAAACATATTTTTCTGTGGAGCTATTAGAAAAGTGAAATGTTTCACTGGAGAAATTAATTTTCACTTCTGTTTTGTTTTTGTATCAGCTCTTTCATATAGATTTTGGGCATATTCTTGGAAACTTCAAGTCCAAGTTTGGAATTAAAAGGGAACGGGTACCTTTCATACTCACCTATGATTTTATTCATGTTATTCAACAAGGAAAAACAGGGAACACTGAAAAATTTGGTCGGTTAGTATCGTTTTGATCTCTTCCTTTTGTAACTGGGATGATCTCTGGTGATAATTTCCAGCACACCAGGAACTTGTCTGGATTTGGTTGGCTCATTTGTACTTGTGTGGGAGCTTGCTAACATGTGTTTACAACACTATCTACTTCTCCACCTGACCTGGAATGTAGACACAAAGTACTTCATACAGCAGAAACCACAGCTCTGCAGTGGAAAGGTGCAATTCCTTTTTGATCTCCTTCAGCAGAAGATGGCAGATTCTTCTGGGCTCTTCATTTTTTTTGCCTTCAGCAAGACTGGGCACTAGGAATGGATGCTAATGGCTGTTGTTCAAGCAAGATGAAGCACTGGTCTTAAAGACAGGCTCCCATCTGCCCTTTCTGTCCCTCAGTGCACATTCAGGGTGTCAAAATCAGTCCTGGCCTTTACGTGGGTGCTTAGGCAAATACAGCCATGTGCTCATAATCCAACACTTTTGCATGCCCCTTCCCATCTTGAGTCAGAGAGCCACAGTGGAACACAAAAGCACATTTCAAGGGAAAACTACCCTCCCTGATCCTACCTGTTGAGGCAGATTTTTCATTTTCCCTCAGCTCTCACTAGTTGAAGGGAGAGTCATTTTACATGCTTTGCTCTCACTTTGCTATCGGGTTTCACAGGAAGAATTTCTTGTCAGAAATATGAAATTAAGTACTAAGGTATGGCATGACAAATTTGTGGCTACATCTGGAAGAAGAAGCTATACATGTATTTTTAATGGTGTGTCTAGGAAGAATAGAAAACAGCTGCCAGTCACCCGTGTATCTCCTGGAGAGCTAGGAAATCAACCTGTAGCTCCCTTTTTAAAACCATGAAACAAAGCCAGGTACAAGAGCTGTGGCATATGGTGTATTTTAAATGGCAGTAGGATTCCACTTTTACGTGAAAAATGCTTCAGAAGATAATTTATTCTTTGAAGTATCATTTGTCGTCTTACAAAGACATCATCTTACATGAAGGGGTCTTCCCATTTCCTGTGGAGACTTACAGATTAGACATTGGGCAGTGGCACATCTGGGCACACTGAGCAAGTTCTCAAGTGTCTGCATGATGTGTTTTTATGCCAGACATGGTAGTTGGTTCAGTTTTGACCATGTTTGCAGGAAGGAATTACCTTACAGAGATAGGTGAAATGCCCTGATGATCTTATGTAGTGGATCTACAGTGGGAAAACAAAACTTCTATAGCAGACCCGTCCAATCCAACCAAACAAATTAAATTCTCAGGGAAATGGGACACTGGCATTTGGCATTTTTTAAAAACCTGTTGGTCTTTTGTACCAGTGCTTTAAGGGCTTGTTGAAGAGGCATGGGGTATTTTTGTGGGAAGGCATTGGAGGTTCTGTAGGCATCTCTGTTGTCCTGTCTGATACTGTGTTCCTACGATACGTGTGGTAGACCAATTAACAGCTTTTTGAAATCATTACATGTATTTGTCAACCGTCTAAGTTCTCACGTGTTGTCTTCATTGCATGTGCGTTGTGGTTGGACGTGAAGGTTCCGCCAGTATTGTGAAGAAGCGTACTTGATTCTGCGAAAACACGGAAACCTATTTATTACACTCTTTGCACTGATGTTAACTGCAGGGCTTCCAGAGCTAACCTCCGTCAAGGACATCCAGTATCTCAAGGTAAAGTAAGATTTACAGCTCAGCAGCACGTAGCATTTTCCAACGATGTGAATTTTGATTTTAAGATTAATATATTTTAATGATTTCCCATTTCTGTCAAGCTCTCTTTTTCAGCTCTATAGATCAAGGTCTGTAGTCAGTCCTGGCAGTCAAAGGAAACTGCGAATATACATTCCGCTCAACCACTCTGTAATGAGTTAACATCCCTGCATCTTACATGTAGTCATTTCAGGGGTGTTTTACATCTTGGCTCATGTGCAAGCATAGAGCTGGAAAGGTGAAAATTACTTGTTTAATTCTTCTTTATTTTAGCTTTACACCCAGAACCACTGATATATTGCTTAATGAATAATAGGTGGAAAAGTGTCAAACCAGAAAACAGACTGTGGTTTTTGCTGAAAGGGGAAACAGGCCCTGACTGTGGTTTCTAAAATTCCTAACAGTACTTGTTTTCCTGTCATCTTAGGACTCGCTTGCCTTAGGGAAGAGTGAGGAAGAAGCACTAAAACAATTTAAGCAAAAGTTTGATGAAGCGCTCCGGGAAAGTTGGACTACAAAAGTGAACTGGATGGCTCACACTGTTCGAAAAGATTACAGATCCTAGAAGAGTTTTGCATTTGCACTAAGCTGAATGTTACCTTGAGAAGTGTTTTAAAAAGTGTTTTTATCTGTAGTATGGGCCAACAAAACTTCTTTTAAATAAGAAAGAAGACAAAACAAGAAGAAGAAGAAGAACTAGGCTGAAATAATTCCTGAGTCTTTTGCACTCTGCTTCCGAATGCTTGATTCCAAGACTGTCTCCACAAGTAGTGAACATCCTGGATAATCAGTTCCTGCTGTCTTTGCACGCTGAGAGCTACTAGGCATTTTTAAAAATTCTTTGGTACTTTATGGAGGTGTAAATATTTGTTTTTATACGTTAGGGTAATGTACTCTAACATACTCGGGAGGTTTGAAGACCTCTGGCAGAACTGTTCTTTAAAGTTGGGACTTGAAGAGTAATTTTTTTTTATATATATCCTAATCTGGCTAAAAATGACCATATTGTGTGTATTTTTTCACATGAACTCTGCCCTACTGGCACAGATGCATTAATTCTACTGTAAATAGCAACCACAGTATCACTGTTCTACAGGGAGCTGCTTAACGTCTTACATTGCTGCCAAAAGAAGAGTAGATATTTGTAGGGAGGGAAATGGGGAGGACAAGAGATGGAGGGGGAGAGAACTTTGAAAATTATGCAGCATCCAAGTGTTCAGGGTTGCACAATTTTGTTGCCCTGACATAAGACACACAGAAGCAGCCCTTTGGTGAGAGGGAAGTTAGGCCAATTCGAAACACGTCCAAGGATCCCTCATTGGTAATGGTGTCTCATTTGGCCTCTGGGGCTTTGCTTTCAGCTCCCGAAGAGGCACATTTATTTCAGGTTTAGCAAGATGCTTTTTACGGCCTTACATTGGAATTTGTGTCTCGGATTAGTTGTGCCATGCAAATGTACTGAATTATGCATGGAGAGTTTTCATTGAATATACTACACAGTGATTTTTTTAGGGCATACATACCAAAAAAACCCAAATGTTTGGAAAAGCAAGTGTTTGTGAGGGGAGATCATTCCATAAAACACCAGTGAGAAGTCATTAATCTTTCCGTATTTATTAAAAGCTTGCAGTAATGTCATTTTACCAAGATATATATGTTGAAGTTGGTTGCTGAAGAAACTGGATTTGTTTTAATTTATTTAGTGAAGTACCAGGCTTTTAGGTGCTTAAATGGAGAGCAAATTTGTTATGTGCAATAGGGAACTGCTGGTTAAAAGATGTAACATACTGTTTCTGAACATCAGCAAGGTAGACTTCAACTACTGCTTGTTCTCCAAAGAACACTGGTAGCTCTCAATTCTTGTTGACATTTGAAAGAGAATTAAACATATATATATATATTTTCTTTTTGACTAAACAGTTGTTTTGCATAGAGATGTTGTTTTATGTAGGAATTTAATTAAAGGTGGTTTTACTTTGTTGAGAGTGATTTATTATTTTTAGTTGTTTTGGGATTGCCAGCATTGCATTTTATACAGTGGTTTGATTGGCTTGTCCTCACCCTTGGGGCTAATCTGTCTGGTAAGACCCCTGCTTCTAGAATATTGCAAAAGTAACAAGTGCTTTGGGTTTGGGATGGGGGGTTTTTAACAATATAGTAGCATTTAAAGTGTGCCAGGTGTGTCCTCCCCACTTTTCTTTTTATTTGTAAAGCAGATGGGAGGAAGGGTGAAAAGAAACTGCTTTGCAGGTGTCAACTCTGAAAGAAGTCATTTCATCCTTCTGTACTTAACCTCTCAATATCCAGCTGTAGTGTTAAATGGTAAGTTAATTTGTGCTGAGTGGGATCATGTTTCTTCCTTCTTCTGAGCTATAATTTTAGACCATTTGCAGAATTCAGAAGGCATCGTATGGTCAGACTGTAGTAGTGTTTAAGGATTTTCTTCATAACAGTGAGTAGAAACAGAACTTTTTTAAATGTGGAAGCTTTGGAAAGGTTGTAGCTTTATGCAGCTGTAGAAAAGAAATGTAAGCTACAGCTTTTGTATGAAATGCCTTCAGTTCAGATGGTCTCATGTTATATTAATTACTTTTCTCCAAGCTTACTGCTAATCTGATCTGCACGTTTCCACTGGAAAAATGACTTTTCTTAAACCAACTCTACTTTTCAGGGCCTTCTCTCTATCTCATGGGGAGAAGATAACAAGACTGCTTTAAAAACATTGACATTTGGTGTATGTAGTGTATGTATTACATACATTCATTCTTTTTCCTTTTGATTGCACGATTACTTGGTGGGTTTGCTTTCTTTACCTTGTGTTGTTTGAGGTGTGACTCCTGCTTCTCCTGTATTTGATTTCCAAGGAAAGAGCTCCCATGGATTTGCCCCTCACTAGTGGAGTTCCTTCCTTTCCCTTTTATGCCTGTATAAGTTTTAGTGACAATGATGTGTTAAGTCATTCACATTGTAGCAAATGTCTTTGACAGAGCCTATCCATATATTCCATATAACAGTCAAATATTTCTTTTAAATTTCCTGGAGCTATTGAAATCAGATATAGTACAGGCTCTTAATAATTAGTATGTCAGGCTATGATCATAAGGATAAGGATTCTTTAGGAATGATTTCAAGCCTAAATCTATTAAGTATGTAGTCAGTATTTCTATTACTATTCTTTCACAGTATATTCTATTACTAATTATTATGTGTCTGAGCTGGCTTTAATATCTGAAACTGAAATCCTGTGTTCACATAATGCATTCCAGTTTTGGCAATTTTTCTTAAAATAATTTAAAAAAACTTTTCTGGCATAACAGTGCCAAGAGATGAGGGAGCAGAACTGTCTTGGTGGAAAGGGAGTTTTAGTAGGTGCTGCCATACCAGACGGCAATGCTGTTGGGCTTCATCGTTTATGTACGGCTGTGAGGTTTTTTTAATGGACAAATGTGCCTTACTGTGGCTTGGCATGTGAGATAGAAGTCAGGCTAAGCTCGAGGTGGTGGTTTTATGCACTGACTACTGTTTCCAGTGCAGAACTGTTTTGTTTGAGGCACATCTGTCTGCCACTGACTGTTGGTGGATGTAGTCTGGGCATAAGGTTAGTAGTGAAATTATTTCTGGAGTGCTTTTGCAAATCGGTCACAGTAAGATCATAACCATAACATCTCAAGTGATTTAAATGGTCATGAACTGCTTATCTCTTTCATGTTTTGGCTTCTCAGTTCAGAAAACTAGTTTTGTCTTTCCTTAGAAAATGTGTTTGTATGGTGTGGATGTGAAAGCTTCCTCTGACATCTGTGGGAACAGCATGCCCCCATGGGCATGGTTTCATACAAACTTGAGTGCACAGAAGGAACAAAATTCGAGAAGGGAATTTTAATGTGATCTACAACTTCTGTGGCCAAGATAGTCATCTAAAGCGCCCTTCCCCATCAAATTGTATACCTATGCTAGTTAATTTAAAAATAAATTAAAAGTTCAATACTCAGACAACACTGAAACATACCTAGGTATTATGAATCAGTGTAATGCACCCAGTGGTTCTGCATTTAATATTCACTTTCTCTGTTGCAGCTCAATGGGATAATCTTGTTTCCTTGAGAGGAAAAAGAAAACTCTGCAAGCGTTTCTGAAACAATTCCCTGTTCTTAATAGCAGAGAAACTTTTAGCTCCTACTTACAAATCTTTGTCTGTGGAGTTTATAGTAGTTAAATTAGTGAATATGCAATTGCTACATATAGTAAGTATGAACTACAGGATAGTTGGAGTTGCTGATGCTGCATACACATTGCACAGACCGAAGTCAGCCTGAATGGATCCAAGCTTTAGCATTTTCGATATAGTCAGGTATCGACAAAGCCCCCACACCTCATCTTTAATCACCTCCACATACTTGACTTTCTGCAGTCAGCGTACTAGAGCTGGCATCTCCTCCTCTGTCGTAGTGATCGAGCAGGCTGTGGGCGATGAAGCCGCTCTCTGAATGGAGCGTCTCACATTTTTGGCAGATGAGGATTTCACATTTCGGACACATTTTCCCAGAGTGAGGCTGCCTTAAAGAGCATATTTCCTCCCGTCCTGGCTTCAGCTTTTTGGAACCTTTCCTGTGTAAACATCTTCTCTTGTCTTCGAGAAGCTGACTTCTTCCCTGAGGGCTAGAACAGTCAGAAACAGGTGACAAGTTTAACCTATACGCTTCCTAGGTGAATGAGATCAGCAGAAGCAATTGGGGTGTGATTTATGAACCCTTCCTGGGGCTTTACGTGTGACACACTAGGAGCAGGTACAATGTGTGACCACCTGCAGAGAACAGGAATGTGCAGAAGATGGAGAGTCTGGCTCTAGTGATGTGATGCCAATGACAAGCCATTAGTTTTAGAGCATAGAATTATTAAAAGGATCAGCACCATTTAAATGAAAATGTAATAAATCATAAGTCATAACTAGCTAGGTAGGAGCTTTCAACTCGGTTCCTTAATATACAGCTTTTCTGTGGGTGATTGTGGCACAAGCCTCGTGTTTGCATGAAGACAAATTTCATGCAGCTCTGTGTATCTAAATTTCAGGCTTCTGACTCAGTAGACCTCACCAATACTATCATAAAGGCTCTTTTTCCAGTTGCATGCACTAGTAATTATGCTGGCTAGTAGGTAAGCTCTATATTGCGCTATCCTTGAATAGAGATGGAAGGGCTGGAAGAAAAGCACTTGATCAAGTTATATACTATTATGTTTTATATAAAATAGTACCTCAAAATCAAGATAGTGACCTACACAATCCCTTTAGAAGTGCTAAACTGCAGAGATATTCTGATGTAGCTACACCACTGTGAAAGTTCTGTAGGCCCTGATGGCTTGAATGTTTTTCAAAACCACTGTTATGCAATGTGTCCATAGAAGTATATCTGTTAAAGTCTGAAGACTGATTCTGTTCCCTTTAATGTGAGAGTACCGTGGAAGAAAAGTGCTACATTATTGTTTCAGGAGTTTTAGATCAAACTGGGAAAATTCTGTATTCGCCACTTACAAATCAGGTTCAAGGCCTGGAAAGCATGATTTTACTGCTTCTGTTGCACTTGTCTGCACCCTGAATGTGTGCTTCACTGAAATTATGAACAATGGAGAAAGCTCACAGCTGTAATTTACAAACTCTTTGGATGTTTGACTATATTTCTAGTCTAGTTCCCCAGCAGTGCAGCAAGAGAAATCTCAAAAGCAAAGCCTTTGGTATTAGTTGTTCTGCAACTGGATCCATTTGAGAGAGGAATCTGGCTCTCAGGATCATTTCTGGCTGGTGTATTTTCATCTTATGTTGAGCTTGTAGCCAGCTGCTGTGGCTATCAAGCTTAATGTAGTTAGCTGAGTAATTGCTGAGACTTGCGTGCACTTCCTGCCAAGACCGTAATTTCATGATAATTATCCAAGGCAGACTCTTTGTGGAGATCTGTACAGAAAACAGCTCTTGGATAAGAAAAGACACCGTTTAGAAACTGTTCTTAGTATGATGCATACACTAAGTTTACCTTATGTTAAGGAGGAATATATCAAGTACAAACACCTAAGAAGAGAATTTCAGATCCTGTAAGAATGATGTCATAACTCAAAGCTAATACCACGCACAAAGCAGTAAGCTCAAACTCATTTTTTGCTTCTTTGCTTACTTTGGTTAAAAAAGGAATAGTTTTGCATTGCTTGTCTTTTTTAAATTTTTTTTTTCCTATGTGAAAAGTAGTAAGCATAAAGGCACTGTTACAGGAACATAAGCAATACTTAGGAATTCTGATTCAAGAAACTCAGCAACACTAACTTTACTGAACAGCGATTTTGGCTGCTGCCCACATGTTGCTGCTGTCCCTTGCACCCTGGATCTAGGGATACGGGTGCAACAAAAATGGCAGCAATGTTATTCCTAGAAACAGTGTCCTAGGTTGTCACAACTGGCAGTGCTTGTGTGTATGCGGAGGAATAGAGGTGCTGCCCATCCAAATCTCTCTTGCTGGCTGGGAGGAAGCATAGAGCAACGGCTATAAGATAAATATGCAGACACACAAGGTTTGGAGACCTAATTTCATACCTACATCTGCCAGGGACTTGCTAGGTCAAGTTGTTTGATTAGCCTCTAACTTTCCTTGTTTGTGAAACAGTTAATACAGCAAAGTTGTCTGGCTCTTTGAAAGGTGCTCTGGAAATACTATTTCTTGGTTAAAAATGTATACAAAATACAATCATAAATGTACTTACAGTTTATTCTTAGGAGACCCAGAGAATAGGCTCAATCCAGAAAATCTCTTCTTAAATAGTCGCTCTCGCTTTTTCCGGCTGTGCTTCCCATCTCCTATGCTTGCTTCTGTGAGTTCCTTCTTTCCTTTGTGCCAGCCCATTTTATCTGTCATAACAACAGCACCTGCTTAGATGAAAACAGAAGCCTGAGCAGCTTTTCAGAAGTCTCTCCCGTAGTGTGTTGCACCTGGTGAAGTTTGGAT